ATTATCAAAACAAACCCTAGTCATAGGAACTGGTATCACTATGTGGAATGGGCGCAGTTTGGTTTGTCGAAGTATTGCATAGTCCACACTGTCATCATTCAATCATCGTAGGAATTGTGATATACGAATATCTTATCACGTTTGATCTGGAGGTTGAACGTTTTTGGAAGCGCAAAACCAAGGGACTTGGATCAGTATTTTTCTACATCAACCGATACTTCACTCTCTTAGGGAATATCGGGATAATTGTCTTATTCATGTCCCCTGAGCTGGTAGTGCGCCACAATGTGAGTGGGCAGCCCCGTCATCCCACGGATGTTTTGAATAGTTGATTAATTACGACAGGGGTGAGCCTTCTGCTGCAAGTGTTGCGACAGGGATTCCTACAGAACTCACATGTGCAATAGACGTTGGGCTTTGATTCTTGTCATAGAGACTTACCTTTTGCTTAACCAGATCGTGATCAATGGTATGATACTTGCAGATCCCTTCGCACCCATTTGGGTTTATATTCTCATTTGAGAAGCGCTCTTCATACTCAGAGTCCGTGCTTTATATGATTCAAGCAAGGGTATTACAGTGTTCCTCTGTACTGTTGCACTCGTTGGTGTGGTAGGGAACGGCTTCGTAAGTAATCATCCTGGTTGTATGAGAATCACAAGTGATCCTCAGCCAGGTCCAATTCTATTTGGCAAATTGGGAAGACACATCTTATATCAACACAGTCTTCCCAATGTTAGTATTGGATGAAGTAGGTACAGTACCGAACTTCACAACGGCACAGTGAGTGCTTGTGTTGAACCATATGTTTAGTTTCCAGCTCACAAGGTTAAGAGGTCTTCGTGGGTAGATTTCCTTCGCTTGTAATGACGTACTGAGACAAATTCTTCTTGCCTATGCTGCTTGTCATAGATATCATCTATATATACACCGGAATATTTGTATTTGACATTTGTGTTGTTTCACTGACACTTTGGAAGACGTTGAAGATTTATAGAGAAGAGCATTTTTCTGGGGGTGTAGGAATCATGATTATGCGAGATGGTGAATCATTTCTCTGAAACTTCAGTCATTTTCTTAACCATTTTTACATGATTTACAAACAGGCCTTTTATATTTTGCAGTCATCACACTCTTTACTCTGGCAAACATGGTGACCTATTTGGTCAGCATTCGATGACTTCTTGAATGGAGATTTCACTCTCATACATGCTTCCGTCTTGCCTACAGGTTGGCACAGTGCGTGCGATGATGATCATAGGTATAAGCAACCAGCTCAAAAATGATTAAATCTCACACAGGATATCACAAAATCTCTGCTGACAATCTTGTCTAATTCGTAAGTTGGTTCAATTTGAACATTGAGTACTGATGGACCTACACATGTTTTATAGTATGTCCGCTATATTGATGTCGCGTCTAATGCTTAACCTCCGAAGAGGAGAGCCAATTGAATCATTAGATCAATTTTCGATATCAGAATTGTTGTTCTCAAATCGGCAGGATTTGGTAGATGAGTTCTGTTGACGTGCCTATCGAACAGGCCACGGGCGACAGATACACAAGGAATTAATTTGTATGATACTCATCGGGATTAGGAGAAGTCTGTCGAAAAAAAATACCAAGACTGGCTTGTTCTCACTTTGAATATTGAATGATACCGAGAGCGAGTGTTGACGGGGTACGGAGGCTCGGTCATATCGATCATTGAATCCTCATATACCATTGAATTTCACGTACCATTGCGGGGTCACCGTCCTCAAGTTCGCGTTGGAGATGATTGTTCGTGGAAAGAGAAGGGCGCGTTGTTGGAATTGTTGTGAGGTAATCACACATTCCGTGACAGTTGACGCGGTCCCAACGAAGCCACGGCTCTACAAGATCAAGCATTATCACATTCGCACTGTACTCACCTATTTGTCAACGACAAACATCATCGAAAGCTTGCCCCCACCTAATTGTCCTCCCAATCTGCGCTATCGCAAGTTGAACTGATTTTTTGGATGATGACGACTAAGACGATCCAGAGATTCTTCTGCAATACTTTGGATAATGGGGGGTGAAAAGGAATTGCACTGGATATAATAGGATATCCGACTAGACCCTCAGATTTATACATTCAAGCAACAGTCAAGAAAATGAAACCTAGGAGATTGTAATCAACAACGGATTTTTGGGAGCGACTGCGTAAAGAATTCGCCAGGGGGTTTGATATCGTAAGTAGGTTTGATCTTCAAATCATGCGAATCATAACGGGAAAAGAGCGAGCGCCATTAAGTTAAGATTAGGGTGCATCAATCAGCTATATAAAACCAAGGGATCTCTTCTACCTTATGGAACCTGGTTCGCCTCGTAATTTTCCCGTGAACGTGAACGACGCGTGAACGATTTGAAGCACTTTGGGATTATCATAAGTACACTAGGTTTTTCAATCACTAACACAGAGGGGACGTTAAATCCAGTTTTGACTTCGCGAGCAACAGCAACGTGCTACGAGGAAACCTGGTAGCATAGGTATATGAAGCATTGTCGACGACCGCAAACATGAATAGACACGAGGGGACAACGACGTCAAGAATGGACAACGACAACGCCACGAAGAGACACCCGATCTGTATATCGAAGAATAAAAAAGTACGAGCAAGAATGAAAACACTGAACGGTACCGTAACACCCCAACATGGGAAGGGCATACTGTGCCAGAGTTCGTCGGGCTCCGATAATCGTGACCTCTCTACGTCCGTAAGCCACGCTGTAGACGCCAACACTGTGAATGAAACGACGTGCGCCCTTCAGCCGCTCCTACGAGCCTGAATAGTCCTACTCAGTACTCCACGGCATCATCATTATCATTTTCTGGCTGCGTGGAACTTGGTTTCATCTCCACGTCCATTGCAACCGTTTTGTCTTTATCCTCCGATGTAACATCTGCTGTTGTTGGCGCTGAGGCAGACTCTGTAGACTGTTTCGCATCTTTATCGCCATCTTTGTTACTACCGTCCACATCCATACTGGTGGCGTCACCTGCGTCCCCTTCTGCATTTCCGCTTCGTGCTTTCTTTTCCTCTCTTTCGATAGCCTGAGCGTTAGAGACTTTTTCTCGGAGTTGCCTAATTTCTTGAACACTTGCATCGCGTTCGGCGGCAAAGGCAGACCATTCGGCTGCGGATGCGACAGCTATCTGTGAGTGAGAAACAAGGAGTCAATCAGCTTATGGTGGAACTTGTACAATTCGAAAGGACGCACCTCTTCTTTCCGTCTTTTTAAGAATGCTTCTTGCGATGGCAGCAGCTTATTCGGTAAATAGTATAGCGGTGGGGGATGTGACCTGGGAGGTTTTGCTTTCTCTAGTATTTTTGCAAAGGATTGTGCGTCGCCTGTGAATCATCTCAGCGCAGGTTTACATTCCGCGAGCTTTGGGGAAGCTTACTTTGTTCGACGTCCTCCTCCATTGTCTGTTCATCCAGTACAACATCACTTGTACACAGAAAATTCGCCAGATACGGTGTTCTCGTCCTCCTCAATCTATACACACTGACCCTCACACCCAACTCCTCCTCCTTCCTCACTGCAAGTGTTTTATCCTTCTTTGCTTCTTCCTGTCTCCTCACTTCTGCTGTCTCGTTTCTCAACTTGGCTTGTAGCCGAGCTTCGAGTAATTGACGACGTTTGGCTGCATCGGAGGCTTCGCGCTCTTTCGATTCAATTTTGGCTTTGTTAAGGGTACCTAGAACGAGGCCAAACATAGATTTTCCACCGCGGCCGCCGCGAGTGCCATTGCCGAGAGCAATGCGAGGACGAGAAGATGGAGGAGGAACGGAGGATGGAGGAGCAGCTTCAGCGGCATCTGAAGCTGGTATGGGGACTGGGGCGGTTGCAACTCTAGATAATGGACAAGTCAGCTGCAGAGGACATCTAGAACTGAGAAAGACATACTCCTCAGACATGATGAGCGTATGTGTATGAGGAACGTCGGAGAGCAATTCAAAGGATCCGACAAAACATGTGATCATTTTGTGCCGCCATCGATTTTTTAACACGTCGTCCCAGGGTGTCACCCCCTGCGTCGTACTCATATACTACATAGCAAGCATGTACATCTATATAACACTCACTCACCATAAAAATCTTACAGAATGTGCCGCACACACCGAGGAATCACTGTATACTCACAGCGCTCTGTCTCATGCCAATCATTTCGTCTAAATTACTGATTTCTGGCGATCTGCGCTTGCCTCGATACAAGGGAGACGGATGTCTGCTCCTTCCCGCAGACATGTCAAATCACTGAAAATCCTGATATAGCTGATACATATGCTTCAGAGCTCAAGCCACTCCGCTACTGATTTCACTGTAGGCATCGGAGTTCGTCTTTCAATTTACATCCCAGCCATACTAGTAACATTGAAGTCTGGCTATGTTGCAGCCCAAGTCTGCGTAGACGGGTTCACTGAGAAGCTCTCTGGATACTTCAGTTCTGCATCACTTAGGTCTTCGTTGGAAGATAGTGATTCCAACACTCCTTCCGATATCGAACTCGTTGACCTCGAAGCAGCAGCTCAATAGTCTCAGTCCTCTTCTTCCATTGGATCTGACACATCTTCTTGGTACAGTGATGGTACGAATGAACGTAATTTTGAAAGAACTTCCCGTGGATACTTCAACTACTTCTCCGACCACCCCCACTATTTGAATCAAACAGGTTTCCGATCTTTCTTCCCCGTCCGTGGTTAGTGGTAAACAATGAACTTATGGACAGACTTTGGCTCTGTTGACTACGGTCATCGGGGTGCTGATGTATGTCGCTGAGCTGGTGGGGCAATGGATAGCATTCAACTTGTGGAACTTCCTGAGATGTAAGCTGCAAAAAAGAAGAAAGTTAACAACAGAAACACAAAGAGTTCAAAGTATCTGAAAGCCAGTTTCAAGTGGCGAAAGGTGTACCAAACAAATATTTTGGTCTTTGGAGCTTACAGGCAGCAGTGGGGTGAAAATTAAAAAGTTCGCGCCGTGGTTCGAACACGGGGCTTCGAGATAAACCAAGCATCATCAATATCAATGCTTAAGCGTTGCAATCTCACACTCTACCACTGAGTTACGCGAACGATATATTCATTGCGTGGAATACATAATTTGAGCATTATTCTAATGACGTGAAAATTCTGAGCAAAAGAACAATTCTCTCATTGATTAAAGGTTATAAATATCCAATGAGACTATAGTAAGATTATACATAATTTTCACCAACTTTACTCACTGTGTATATTCTCCTTAGTGAAAAGTTTAACTTTTCCTCAAATGAGAAAAGTTTAAAGAATCTCAATGTAATCATGCTGAGCAAATTCAAACTTTTCTCAGTGAGAAAATCTTATGATTATTGTTCATTTACTCAAGTTCATTTGAACATTGTGTCAGTGCTCAAATGATGGATTCCTCGCAGTGATTGTAAGTCAATCATTCCATCAAAATTGCAAAATATTCTGTAAGAGGACTCGCTTTATGTAGTAGGCCATGTGATCATACCTAGGCTTAGCGCGCGTCTACCACCACTTGCTGATATCAAGATGAAAAGTAAACAAAAAGCAGACAACAGCCGCGTCACCACTGTCTTTCCCTTCACCATTGGCTCTGGAAATTGGAGGTTGTCTAGATTGTCGAGCCCTCCGTCATTCTCTTGTTTTCGTATCTATGCTTTCGCCGCACTTTTCCTGATAATCTTTTCAACGAGCTTACTTTTCACCACATTGACAACTGAAAGCACGCTCAGAACCTTGTTTCCGCTTCCGCACAAATTACGAATACCTTGGTCTGCAGATAATATTCCCTTCTGGGTTGGCAGGGGACCGCTCATACCTCGTTTCGATGGGTCGGACCCTGTCACGAGCTCGGAGAACAAAGAGTCCATCTATGTCCTCTCGCTTCCTCATAGGACTGATCGTCGCGACCGAATGGAATATCTGCAAAACTATCTTGGCTTGCACTGGACATACATGGACGCGACCTACGCGGACGCAGAAATCATTGGAACGATCATGGATAATGTTAGAAAGATACGCGAGGAAGCTATGAAAGCAAGATTGGAACTACAGAGAATTAGGGATGAAAAAGCTAGGGAGAAGCAGGATGTCGACGATGATTTCGCGCTTATAGTCTATCCTGACGATTTGGAGCCGTATTCAATCCCGAACATTGGCTCGCCGTCTAGTGCTCTCCCGCCTCAAGCAAGTCAACTATTTTCAGGCGTCAAACTGCCGTTCCAGTGGCCAGCTTCTATATCCACCAACATATCCGCATCTTCAGAGCCGCTTCTTTCACAGTTGTCATTGAAGACTCAAATATTAGATTCTCTTCAAGCGTTCGATATCTATGCAAGCAAGAACGAGATACTCGGGACCTGGCGTATGGGATCTAATTCTTCAAGTTTCGTAGATGATATCGAAGACCATGACTACTTCTACCGATTTCTCTCCAACATTGACGCTAAAGCCGCCAACACAAGAGCATATTCTATGGTGAACCTGGAACTAGTCTGTACCACGAAAGATTTCAGTCTCGTCCCGTACTCGACTACGTTGCCATACCACAAATACCTCACAGCTGCGCGGGTAGCTGTATGGCACTCGCATTTGAGGGTCTTACGACTGATCGCCGAAGAGGAAGAGTTGCGGCAGAAGAACTTCTGGAAGCAGGAGATCGAACGATCCGACGACAAGAATACGACGACTCCGAGAAGTATGAAGGAAGAGGAAGACGTGGATCGGATCGAAGCCAGAGCAAGAACTGGAATGCACTGGATGAGACGATACACTGATGGGCGCAGTGAATCTGATACAGAAGAGGTCAGTGTCGGCGGATTTCTAGAGCCTCCGAAATCCGACCACCCACGAACCAACGACGATGAATTTTTCAACGCCGCTGAATCGCAGCCTAAATCCGGTCGCGACAAATATCGCGAACACATCAGCATTATCCTCGAAGACGACATCGACATCGAGAAAGATATACGTCGCAGGTTACACCGAATCTGGATCAATCTACCAGACGACTGGGACATCGTTTTCTTAGGACATTGTTGGTCAAATGAATCTTTTTGGCCCGCAATTTATCTGCCCACAGAATCATCCGAAAATCAGTATACCTCGACCAAAGGCGTCTCTGAGAACACACTTCACCCTTCGTACTCCCCTAAATGCACACACGCATACGCACTCTCCCCTCCAGGCGTCCGCAAGCTGCTTGCGCATCTCGAGTACCCCCCCTTCGCATATTCCCGAGCGATTGATCAGGCTTACGCATGGCTAGTTTCCAGTGATAGGATAAACGCGTACAGCGTAGTGGGGAGCGTTGTCGTGCAGGTCAAGGGTACCGTAACCAATTCAAGTAGTCCAAACGACAAAGGAGATGAAGCACATCAAAGTGGCGAAGGCGAAAGAAGCATAGGAATAGGCGATGTGTGGCGACCAGGGCGGAAGGAAGATAATAGCAATGGCACTGGGGCACTTCCCATGGTTAGTACTAGTTCGTGGACCGAAGAGCTGATCAATGGGGTTTTTGCGGGACCCAAATAATTTGTTTGTGCGTCCCATGCTATTCTCCGAGTCCGTCATTATGTTTTTTTTTTTGATAAGTACAATAAATTTCGCGGTATTGAACCTACATTAAACGTAACTTTGAACATGGCTCACTTTTTCTCCTTCCAAAAACCCTCCAGAGCTGACAGTGAGTTTCGCTTCGTCTAGGTATGTGAGTATCCTTTCTCGTTTGTTAGCAGGTAAGATTTGCAAAGTAGTAAATTTGATCCGAAGTTAGAATCCGCACGCAGTTTACCATTTAGGACAAGGTATTTCAAGTTCAAACACAGCGGAAGCAACTTTTGTAAATTATCCACCTCCGTGGAAGCCGTTAGTGCGCACAGGATGGACCGCCGCAACTGTGATATCATGGAGCCCTTTAAAGGATCGTTCGAAATGTTGAACCCCTTCGCCCGGTGCCCTCATATCAGTTCGCATTCGTTCCAGAGCTGGTCTCTGCAATTTGTATACTGACCTCCCTAACATTAATCGCATCCAACTCCAATGCTTTTTCCCCTTCCTACCAAGGTATTGTCCCCAGTGCTGCTAATGACACAATTGGTGGTCATTGCTGCATCTCCCGTCGGTTTTACACCGATATCAGGCCATCGTTCTCGTGGTCTCAAACATTTCTCTTCCGACACCGACCTCAAACCCGACAAATTTGTGGGTTTTCACTACGCCCCTAAAGTGAGGATCCCTCTCGAATTTTCACTCCTGGATCATTTCATGACTGATGTAGGAGGAGGCCGAGGAATACAACAAAGCTCGGACGCTCACCGCAGCAACGGTTATCGAGCAAAATCCATATGCCGTTGTTTACCCTAAACGTGAATCCTTCTCCAAGTGCGTAGAATAATCTCCCTTCCTTGAATGCTGGACATTTATTGTGCACTGCAGTAAGTATTGGGAGGTCGGAATCTACCGAAAGTTTTCACCTTGTGGTACTCACTAATGCCTTCGTTAGTGCCAGATTCATGTTCCACATGACGAACAAACTGGGATCGATAAAGTGCCAAAGGTGCGCGCCTATCTAGGTTTGCTTCTTCTACTGGAAACCGGTGGATTTGATACAAACTTGCACAGCTGTTCATTCCAAACAATGCCGTTCCGCCTGGGAGTCAAGAGGAGCTTGATGAATACATCAAGACACAGGAATTAGAATCTGCCAAAACTGTTTTATTCCGCCAGGCAGTAGCAAACGTTGTAGAAATGTTGATCCCATCTCGGTATCTTGAAAAGTCATCCAGCAATCAGGAGAATCCTTCGGGAGAGAATAGCCTTAGTTTGAAGGTATCGTGCTACTCACTTAGTAAGTTCAACTTAACACTGTATCGCTTGTACTCTTGGATTCAGGTTTGTACCGTGCTCAAAAACTTCTTTTCTTCAGGCACGTCTTCTGGATCAGAGTTGTTGAAAGCGAATTGGCCCATTATGTGGTCCATTCTACAGTGGCCTGCGTCGTTGACTATATAGACAAGTGACGGAAAACTTTAATAGCTCGAAATAATTGTAACTCCGTCGTGTTCCAAGTAGTTCCTACAGAACAATTGTCAGATATCGAGCACAGTATCGCGCGCCCGTCCGCCGCCGCCGCCGCCGCCACCCAATTCTACGGGGGGCTAAAAGGGGCTTTTTTCGTTGATCTCTCTGATTCTCTGCACACCAATGCAGTAAGCATGTCGCTTTCAATAATACTATCTATCTATCTAGACTAAGCATCAAAAACAAGAAAGGACTGTAACTACTAATAGGATTAGATTTGTCCCTAATCGGCTGAATTGATCGAACAAGAGCGCTGAACAATTCGCATTTGATCGACTTATCATTAGTTCAAGCTCAAGACTACCGTGTCAAGTATCTTACAATCCCCATTTTTTTGGCTGGCAAGTGATGCAATTAATATTGATTGCTGTAGGTAGTACTGTAGGAACCCAGTGGAGAATTTATAAATTATGTGTACAATGGGGAATGATAATTTTTTTTGGAATGCAGCGAGGACAAGGGAAAGGGTAGCAAAAAGAAGGAAGGTACAAAGGAAGGCGAGGAAAACCAGAAACATAGAATCATATTTTCAAGAAATCCTGTATACACCATTTGACGAGTCCATTCTATAAAACAGATATGATGAGCGAAGAGATAAAAGGAAGTAGTGTATTAAGATGAAGCATAATAATGGCGCAAACCAGATCAAAGGTATCGTCGCGAACCACCTGGGTACTGTGTGAGATCATGTATAATCAAGAAGTTTATGAAAGAGTGACAAATGGAGGGAGTGGAGAGCAGATTCGAACTATTCCAACCCTTCTGTTTCTAGCATCTTCTCATTCCTTTCTTTTTGCATATTTCGCCAGTCCCTCTCATGAAATCTAGACACCTTTCTGACCTATACCTTCATCGTCATCGCATCCCGGTCATCCGCACATAACCTTGCCCACTCTAACGCAAGTCGATACACATACGACTCCAAGTCTAACGTTCGCCCGATTGTCCTTTTCCACTGCTTTCCTGCGCGCGCTATGCGTCTTAAACGA